CTCAAATCTTTTTATTTCTGACTCTTGAGTATGGTTCTCTAAAAGACACAAATTCTAAGAGAAAAGGTTTTGTCTTAGGAAAGAAATTGTGAATTATGTAGGGCTAAAAGAGAATAATGCCTTAAACTTTCAAGTGATTCAGAATGGAGGGAGAGAGGGGAAAGGGAGAGGGAGAGAGAGAGGAGGGAGGAAGGAGAGAGCAGGAAAACACCTGCCAGCATCCTTGCCACTCTTTTGTAAGCTTGAAATATTTCTTACAATAACAAATACAAAAAAGGTTTTAAACTGTAGATTATTGGAAATATGTATAGTTGTAGGATCATACTGCCAAATGCTACCACATCTCATAGGCAATATATGAATTTGTCCAATTAGGTCATTAAACAAACAAGCACAATCCCAAGTAAGTTCCACAAAGTTCATCTCACAGCACATTGAATTCCATTTACCCCACACACTTCCCCTCTTTGATCCTTGCTATTGCTATTAAAAATAAAGTTGTGGGTTCCTGCCACAGAGGTGTCCTGTAAATTGGTGGTCTAGGGTTAGAGGATTGATCAGATTCAGACTCTATCCCACCCCCCCCTTTTTTTTTTTCCAAACAAGGTTTCTGGCTGTCCTGGAACTTGTAGATCAGGATGGCCTTGAACATACAGAGGGCTACCTGCCTCTGCCTCCCTGGGAATAAAGGCTTACACCACCACCTTGCCTTCCCTCCCTTTTTTAAGGGGAGGGATCAACAGCTCATCAGTCTTGTGTGAAAAGCCTGATTTGGGGTTTCTTTGAACTATCCCATTCCCACTAACAATTAGGGTGGGTCTGGGTAGCAAGTACTCAACTCTCAATTCCCACTCTGGATGGAACAAGAATAACCTCCTGTAGGTTAGGGTCACATTATTTAGGATGTGCATACCTACACATTTCTCTGTTAGGTACTCAAAGATGACACCTCAACTCTAAATGCCTCAACAGAGACTGTGGTCCATATCAACACAGCATCACATCCCCACAGCCAATCAGGGATGTGGTATAGATGACAGAAAATGATAGAGATGGGGATAGTCTGAAAGGCTTGAAGGAAAAGAAATAAGCAGCCAGTCAGAAAGGAAGACTGGGGTGATAGCTCAGTGCTTAAGAGCACTGGCTGCTCTTCCAGAGGACCTGCGTTCAATTCCAAGCACTCACATGGCAGCTCACAATTACCTGTAACTCCAGTATCAAGGGATCCAGTACCCTAATACACAGGCAAAATATGAATGCACATAGATTACGAATAATTTTTTTTAAAAAGGAAGACTGAATTAGAACAGAGGACTGTCATGATGAGGGGCAATGTCGGCTATAAACTGGCAGGGCTGAGAGAGCTGACTTGTGGAGGATGACTTCTGTGGGTTTAAAGAGGCAAGATTTTAGTCTTTTTAGTTGCTGTCTTGAAGCCCTATAAAGGAAAGAGGACAGTCAGTGTTAAACTGCCCCGTAGTCCCAATCAGAAAGCACATGCAGTGCAACAAAATCATGTGCTATTCAACAAAAGATAGCTTTCTGGACAAGGCATAGGAGCTGTGCAGGAAAGATGAGCAGACAAAAGTTTAAATGGAAGAAATGTAAAGTCTTAGATTCCTCTTTTCTTCCTTTTTAAATGCATTGAGATGGAAATTATTACAAAGGAAACACCACATGTAATTATTTTAGAAAAGGAAATTTCTGTAAAGAAAACCTTACAGATAATTATGATACGGTGGGATATTTCTGGAAATTTCCAGATAGTTCCTCATACTCAGAAGGATCATTGAGACAGCCTGGTTATGAGAGAGGATGGAAAATTTTGAAGGACTAGCTGATTACGTAACTTTTAGACTATTGCTGTGATAGTTTAGTTATTAATAACAATTTGAGGAAATCTGTTTGCTTCTGGAGAAACAGTTGACTCCAATATGAGAGAAATGTGACTATTTGTAAATGCCCTGGTATTGGTAAGGAGCTATTCACAAGCTAAGAAACTTAAAGCCAGAGCTGAATTTCACTAGTAACAAGCTGTTGACAACACCTGATCAAGACACCTCCCAGAACATATTAGCAAGGAGAGAAAGTGGACCCTGGAGTCTGACCTGGGTCTAAGTCCCACATGGTCCTAGCAGATCACCGTGGAAAATCACTGCAGACAACAACAAGCATCCTAAAGTTAACCTTCACTATTAACACTCACACCTGCTGGAGATCACGGAGCACTTACAATGCCAGGTGCTACTGTAAATGTTTCACACATTATTTAATTCTATTAAAAAACAGAAACAAAAACACCTAGGAGGTAGGCATTAATACTAAAACTTGTTGCATGTTAGATACCAAAGCTGAAGGTCAGAGATAGGCCTTATAGCAACAAACCTGGCTGTCAACACAAGCAAGCGGAATCCAAAAGGCCAAACTGCCTCACCCTCCACCTATACCGCCAGTCACAGGGAATCACCAACAGCAATATGCTTACAGACTTTTCTTCTATGTATATGAGTTTTCCCGAAAGTTTTTAAAACTTCAGTTTCCAAAAGCCTCAATGGAAACATATAAACATGCAATTAGACTGTGAGTTTCTTTGGTTTTGTTTTTAAGGTTGGAATCCACCATTACCAACAAGTTAGCTCAGGTTTTGTGGAAGTTCTCATTGGCAGTTATATAGACAAAAACATTTCAGGCTTTTTTTTTTTTTTTTTTAAAGGAGAAGATGAATCATTGCTTAATGAACGCAGTTCAGTGGAGTTGATCTTTCTGAACGCTGGCCTATGGAGAGAGAATAAGAGGGTTCTTGGCTCTGAGAAAGCTGGGAACTGCTTGTTACATGTTTATGCATGTTGCTCAACCCATCGGCCTTCATAACTGTGTTTTTAAATGACACTATTCTTTCCTGTATCATTTAAGGTGCTTTACTTTGCATATACTATTAAAATCTACTCAGCTCACCAAAAAGAAAATATGATCACATTCCTAACGCTTGGCCAGGAATTGGGGTGCATAAAGGCAAGCACTATACTCCAGGAAAACACCCTTTTTCAAAATCTTAAGATGTAACCTGGGAGTGAGTCTTTTCCAAAGGGAAAAAAATTAAAGACTCGATGCTGGATGGCTGCAAAAACAAAACACCGCACCTAGGTGTGCATGCAACAGTAAGCACCATACTGCGAGTTGGTTGGAGGAAGGATGCCTGCAGTCAGTCAGTGGCCTTTATTTGGGGAAGAGGGTCGGCTCTTTTGCATGAGACAGTTCTTACACCATGTTGGGAAATAATCTAGGCCTCCCCTGACAGCCATGGGAAAGCACAGGCGACAACCTCGTTCCTGAGAATTTGGTGCGGCTAGAACCACACAGGACCCGGGTGCGCGAGGCCTGCGCCGGGTGGCCTGGGCCTGCTCTGTGACCCTGTCCCAGTGGGCTCTGCAGCGGTGGCGCCGGGGGCTGGAGCCTGGCCGCCCGCAGCGCCCCTGAGGCCTGTGCGTCCGCGCTCGAGGTCTGGCCGTCCTCCCGCCTGCACCGGGGGAGGAACGGGTGTCCGGGCCCAGACGCCGGCGTCCATTTTCTGGGCGGCGCTGCGGCCGGGCTCGCAGGTCCGGAAGCTCCATGGACCCCGCGGGAAGCGCGCGGGCGGCGGAGCCCCGTAAGTGCCCCGGGGTCCGCGCATCTCCGGGAGGGAGCCGGGAGCCAGGGGGCAGCGCTCACTGCAGCCGCGGACGCCGAGCCGGCCGAGCCGCCGCCAGCGTCCGCAGGTGGAGCGTCCCGCCCCACCGGGCCCAGCTGCAGGGGGGCGGAGAGGGGGGGGCTGGCGCGCACCTGGGGCTCGCGATTGCTGCACCTCCCCTCCCTTGAAGCGCGGACCCGAGCTGAGTCCTGACCCTACCCGATCGCGATGAGATCCTGGTGCACCAAGCCCCTGGAATTGAACCGGACGTGCAAAGGCAGGGCCCTGCCCCCAGGGGATTGCAGCCTCGGCCTCCTGCTCCTCCTGCAGCCCTAGGTCTGTTGGGACAACTCAACAGTCCGCCGTTAGACACTTCTTTGCAGGTTAGCTGATAAATAATCTGAGATTTTAGCCTATCTGCGGTTTCACTTTATAACTCCTGCTTCGCGGTGGGTAAGTGCCTGATTCCATTCTGGACTTTGGGCCTGATTGAAAATCCCTCCTAATGATCTATTCTAGATGATATGCGCTTATGTACAGTATACCTATAGGGAAAAGGTTAAAGACTGCTCTAACTGGGAAGCTCAAGTGCTCACTCCGGTCCCCGTGGCTGGGAAGAAGGAGAGTTTTGTTGTGGTTCCAGAGAAACTTACAGTGACTTACTGTAGCTAAGATCAAAGAGCAGAGTTTTTGTTTCATAACAGGGTCTCGCTAAGGAGCCTAGAACGCTCAATAAGCATGCAACCCAGGCTGGTTTCGAGCTTGCAGCGGTCTGCTGACTGCTAGGATTACAGACTTCTACCGCGCCATCTGACAAACCAGTGCTTTCCCAAGACCAAACAATGCATAAGTAGAATCCCTTTGATGGGTCCTTGCTGAAAATTGCTTTAAAAGATTAGACTATACAGTACGGTAGAAAAGACTAAAATAAGAGTAGGCACTGTACATAGTGAAGATGCGTATTGTCTAATGAACCCTCTGGCTTATATAACATAACTTGTGAAAAAAAAATGGGTCACCGTCAAAAAAGCCTCTAAGACCCCAACTTAGTGTTTTGTGCTCACGTTCACCTGGGTTTGAGTCGTAGCACTCACTTATCTGTGACCTCCAGCAACAGGTTCGGGGCAGTGTTAGCAGCTGTAAAATGGGTCAATGTTCCCTACAGCTGAGGGGCATTACAGAGATTACCCATCCACTGGCTGCCCTTGGTGTAGGTAGCTCTTGACGTACAGGAGGCATTCCCCATATACTAACTGCAGTTTCTTCCGTGGCTGAAATGCTGAATCCTAGAAACTAGTCCTGAAACCGTGCACTTTTGTCTTCTCTTACTTAGATCTTGATGTGGAGAAGATGGAGGACTCAGAGCCAAGGATCTCCAAGTGATTTCTGCCAAGGCACAGAAACTAACTCTGTCAAGGCTGGTGTGTTCTAACTGAGGTAACGAAAATCTGCGTCTTCCCTTAGGCTACATGAAATAAGAAATGGCAGTTTTTGAAAGATTCCTGAAGGTGTCTGAATCATGATCTGGACCTGCCAGGTTTGAGTACTGCAGAATTTCCATGGCTCTCAAGCTGTCCATTATTGAGGACACATGGTGTGCCAGGCCCCTGTAGTGAGGGAGATCCAGAAAACAGAGCTTCAATGCCACTAGCTCCTTGAGTTAGTTCTGCTGGAAGCAGAACTATGAGAGTTTTTGTATGTGTCTTGGTAGATCTGTGGCTTCCTCAAATCATAAGGACCCCAAAACATGACGGAAACCCAGAGAGTTCAAATGAGTTTTTATTGTTACCTCCAGGAGGTTGCGGTCAAGGCAGGACTCTATTTCCCAGACACATAGCCAGCCTCTCCGCTCACTGTAGGGCGAGCCCTCCGCTAGCTGTGGGGTGTGCATGCGGGAAGAGACATTTCCAGTTCTCACATGTATTGGCAGCCCAGCACACTAAGCGCTTTCTCTCTGCCTTGGAGGCAGTAACAAGTACCATTTGTCAAATGGTTGTAAGTCTTTATGTGCCAGGTAGTGTGTTAATAATTTACTCCTCAACGGTACTAAGAGTTGAGGAAGAAGATATTTAAAGGGCTGAAATGTAAAATGGTAGCAGGTCATGGGAGACTGGGCAGCCAGCTCACCTTTTTGGTGCATTCTGTATAAACAGTGCTTTTCTGGGGTCACAGAGTTCAGTTAAATGGCTGTCCTCCAGACGCTTACAGTCTAATTTCTACCTGAAGTCCACAGAGGCAGAATTGGTGGGCCAGGCCCCTCTGTCCTGACTCTCTCTCGCTGCTCCCGCAGCAACTGCGCAATGCCAACTGACACAAGGACAGACTACAATAATGGGCAGTTCACAGTTCTTGCTTTTCAATTCCAGTTTTCGTTCTTTTCCACTTTTAACGTCTACTAAACGTGTGCTTTCGATTCATACACAGTCGTCAGCCTCTGGATTCATTTATTCTTTTGTTCAACTTCTCTGAGATTTTTGGGTATTCAAAAAATTATTATGCTTTTATAATTATGTTAGTCATGTCCAGTCTTTTAGCAAGGAGTTATTTGTCCAGCTGTCAGTGGTTTTTCTGTTGGTAACCAACTTTGAGAATGTTGGAGATTGACTTAAGTCATTTTCATTTTCAGACTCTTAAAATCTAACTTGAAATTTTCGCTTTTCCAATCCTGTCACTTGCAGTGGAGGCCTTTTTTATTTCTAGACATATCCCATAGGTGGGGGAGGAGATGGCAGCCCGACAAGAGAACTTTTTGATTCAAAAACTGTCTCTCTTAGCTTTGTAGTGCAGAGGGCTGTGGGCATTCCAAAATAAAGGAACTGAAGAAACACACACTCTTTGTTTGATTAATGCGATAGGAAGCCAAAGGCGGCCCCAGGAACTGCAGTAAGCACTGCAAATCAGATTGTGTGACCTGACTGCCACTTGTTACAACATAGGTCTCATATAAAAAGAAATAAGATCACGAGTGTGCACATGGTTCGAGTTTTTATGCAGTTCCGTAAATGTTATGCAGCAAATATTTAAGTAGCTGCCGTAAGTATGACCCTGCCAGAGGGACTGGAGAATTCAGTAGAAAAACAATTGACATTTCCCTCTTAGACTGTTAATAGTGCTTGAAAAAAATCAACAAGAAATATACATATACATACACAGAGGTACGCACGAGCATGCACGCGCGCGCACACACACACACACACACACACACACTTCTCTCCCTCCCACCCCCCCCCCCCCCCCCCGTGGGTGTGGGTGTGTGTCCAGGCACTAATGTAAAAAGAAATCATTGTGGTAATTTGAGGACACATTTGAAATGGGAATAGAGGAAGAGTGAGAAAGCATGGAGCATATTCTGTGAAAAGTATCAAGTCCAGTTGAGTTAGAACTAGTCTATACAGGCATCCAGGGGGAAATAAAACTGGAGAGTATTTGTTGCTGAATAATCGTGGTCTTGAATGCCAACTAGGAAATTGGAATGTGTTAATCAATGGTGTCATTAAGGCTCTGGACAAGGAAATGTCACGGCTGTGCATAGGAGCCTGCTCTTGTGCATAGCTTAGAGGAGGTGGGGAGAAGAGGAAGGATCAAGGAAGAGGGCTGCTGTAGTCCACCAAGAAAAGGGGCTGGCCCAGAGTAGACAGGAACCAGTCAGGGTCGTAAATGGTAAGATGAGAAGAAATGGCAGTCAGCTGTCTCACTGGAGAAGGGGCTGGCACAGCATTTGCACAGCTGTGGTACCATTGTGACCCTGAGAGGGAGGTGGTGAGTTGCATCCTAGGGGTACTACAAGCAAAACACTGATGCTGTTATCTCTCACCCAGATGGGGCTCGGGAGCCCATAAGGAAGGGAAGGCCAGTTCAGGAGCTGTTGGTATACAGGAGGAAATGAAAACATGAGAGAAAAAGGCTTTCCATTACAGTATAGGAAGAATGTGATTGATTATTGAGCCTTTTAAGAAAGAAATGACCTGGGGAGACAGACAGACACCTATCAAGAGAGCAATGAACCTCATAGGAGCATGTTTCCAGGAGCCTCTGGAATGTGGCTTTCACTGAGCACTGGAATAAGAGGGATGGACCAAAGAACATGAGATTTACAGGAGGTGCATTATGTGTTTGTGGGCATTTTCCTTTGCCCAAAATGTGGTATGTAAAGTGATATGCACCATGAATATTAAGTGGTTTTGTTTGCATACATTTATAGCTTGCACAAATCAAGACTAAACCTTGCAAAAATCATTGACCCTAGCATGCTCCCAAACATACTTCTCCTAACTAAAATTCAAGCTGCTAAATGTGGTTTTGTTAGAGGTGTTAACACTGTATTTTATTATCAGCAGACAAATCATAGAATCTCTCCTACAAGAACGAACTAAAAAACAAACAACTTTCTGTTGTTGCATAAAGTTTCTGAAAGTAACTTAATTCCATTGCCTTTTACCATATATCTACTAAATAATGTCTCTCTTTTTCTGAGCACATGAGCTTAATACAATGGAATGAGGATACTGGAATCAGATAAAGCCAGCCATTTTCCAGACTTGTGACTTGAGTGAAGTCCCTGTAAGCCTGAATTTTTTCCATCCTAAGCTTATATTGGTCTATTTTGAAGCACAGTGTAAATTTATGCTAAGGCGAGTCTGCACAAGAAGCTGTATCTTCCTGGTTCATTTGGATGTATTTATTTTTCCCGTTATGCTGTTCTGTCATATGTGTATTGAAGTGACCAGGAGTGAGTCTGGATCAGGCTTCACCAGGGCCGTCTGGAGAAATGGGTCTAGTGGTTGCAGAGGTTCCCAGCACCTACACGGTGGTTCACAAGGAACTGCACCTCCAATCCCAAGGTACCTAGTACCTCTCTGGCCCCCATATGCACTACGTGTATGCGTAGGGCACATACATCCATGCAGACAAAATACACATATACCTGAAATAAAACCAAATCTTTTAGTAATACATAAATAAATGAATAAATAAATAAATAAAAAGACTTCACCTAGGTATCTGACTTACATGTAGACTTCTAGGCCCTGAGACTCTGTCTGATTCAGTAGGTTTTGGGTGGAACCAGGAATTATGTTTTAAACGAGAATTGCCGTGACTTCAGGTGAAGATTACCAAATGTCAATTTCTAGAAAGTGGAAGAAAGAATAAGTGTGATGCGTGAAGCACTGATTCAGATCCTGTTTCATTTAGAGATGCATCTGTGCTCAAAAACTTCTTGCTCATATCATCCCTGTTGATGGATGGATGGATATTTGTAATCACATAAAAATAGGTCCCAGATACTCATGGCATAGCCTTACCCCTCCCTGTGCTGCTCTATGCTCTATGCTGCGTGTCTGTGTGACCCCAGAAGTCTGTGTTCAGCTCTAAGAGAACCATGATGGGCTCCTACATGTAAATGAGGATTTCCTCTTTTAAAAACACACCACACTTTCTGCTTAAGCATGCGTCTTCTGGTCTTGTGGTCCCTGACATGACTCAAATAGCCATTTTCTATACTGCCTCAGCGCTGAATCACACATCTGTTTGATGGAAGTGTCACGTCACACCCGCTGGGTGCTTGTTGTTGAATCACACCTTCCGTATGTGTTCACCCTCCCTATGGCTTAACTGAGTTCACATTTGCCTTAATGGGAAATGATGAAAGGATTGGTCTGCTAATGTGGGTGACTGAAAGGCAGCCCGAGCCAAGTTGTTCCCAGGCTGGGCATTAGAGCCCTGGCTGTCCTCAGGGCTTGTGTTAACTGGGGTGAAGAAAACGACCCTGACCTTCCTCCTCCCATCTACCCCCATCAAGGTCTAGTGGCTCTGGAGTGTTGTTAGGCCCCATTGACTGTGAGTTGACTTTTTGCACAGATGCATCCTCAGTCACCTGGAAGACACGCCCTTTCCTAAACAGGAATATACTTTTTGAGTGAATCCCTACCCTACGTTTTGGTATCTCTTTAATTTCTTGGCATTTGTCTTTTTGTTTTTTTTTTTTTTTTTTTTTTTTTTTTTTAGGAATCCAATTAAAAGAGGTTTTTGTTTGTTTTTTGATAATACTGACTGCTTTAAGACTTCAGAGTTTCTGGTGAAATGCTCTGCACATCTCTTCAGAAATCCTTGTCAGCATGATTTTCTTTTGTAAAGTTTAAATAGGAGTCTTCCTTTTAACCCTAACAACCATCTTGCATTAAAAACAACATGTTTCCCCCCATGAGGCTCCTTGCTCAGGGAGAGAGTAAAAGCTCTGGTGGTTAGTCATTCAGCAAACAAATACTTTGGGAAGCAAGATTTACATTACTGGTAGAAAAAGAGGGTTCTCTGTGTCTGGAGTGAGAGCATCCCCAGAAGGTACCCTGTTTGTTGTGTGCAGGTCCTAACCCGGTGGCCATTTTCTGTACTGAGTCCAGAGTGAGGCTCCGCCCACTGTGCAGCCTATGAGCGTGATT